TGTTGAGGACCTGGCGCAGGCGGTACCAGCGCTCCCCTTCCCTGCATGGGGACAAGACTCAGCACTGGGGGCACAGTTGGGCAGTGGCTGGCAGCAGTTTCCCAATCCTTGGGTGCATTCCCTCCACCCCAGGCTGAAATCACCCTGGGGGTCTTTCCACCTCCATGACCATGCCCTTCTGCTTGGTGGGGACATGCTGCTTGCAGGAGAGAAAGCAACATGAGCTGCCTCCTGGGCCCTACACCTGAGGAAGGGACAGGAGCTGCGTGCCACCCCACAGAGTGCAGCCAGGGCAGGACTCACTCAGTGAAGGGTCCGTAGGGGAGGCGCCGGGTGTCCCGATGCTCCTTCCACAGGGCCATGTCACTCCGCATGGGGTACTTGCCCTCCTGCCGTAACAGCTGCTCCAGCACCACTGGGCTCCCGATGTTGATGTTCTGATAATGCCCAAAGGTTGACTTCCAGATAGGGCCATAAAGGCGTCGGGATATCACCTGCAATGCACCAAGCATAGCAGAGGTGAATGGGACAAGGGCTGGGTCAGATCTTCCCTGCCCTGACACTGACCTGCATGTGCCTAGAACTCTCTGCACCGATCTCATAGACCCCTCAGCACTAGCTAGACCTAAGCACCCACCTCAGATCCCCCAAGCTGGCACTATTCTTGACGTGCTCTGCAGACAGCCTAGGCTGGTGTCTCCAGGCTCACTTCCTCTGCACACCAGGCACTGATCCCTAACACAGACTGGCACGTCCCTCAGCCACCCCAGAGATGCACAGAGAACCTGGTGAGTCTTTTGGTGAAGGAAGACCAAGAGGGGATGGCAGGGGCAGGGACAACTGCCAAGCACAGGGCTGTGCTGAGATGCACAGCTACTGCAGTGGCCACCAGCATGACCCCAACTCTGCTCAACCTGGGGACAACAGTCCCTGTGTGGGTCCTTGAACTCACTACCCGATAAGAGTGGTTAATGTTCAGTGGTGCAAGGGCAGCACCAGCCTAGGGCAGGACTGGGCTGCTCCTGGAGCAGGCTGTCACCTCTGGGACACAAGCCAGCTAAGAGACATCCACCAGCATCATCCCTGCACTAGGCTCTATTGGCCACAGCTCCTCTCTCCTCAGCTGTACCCAAGGGTGCCATGCCTGCCTCCCCACCAGGGAGTGCACCCCTTGGGGGTAGCTGAGCACCCCTTTGCAAGTGGATCTGCACAGGGCCACGTCCAAGGGTTGCCTTCCATCCCACCCAGGCACTGCCAGAGCCCCTGCAGAGCATAGCCAAGCACGGGGGGCTGCGGGGGACCTAGCAGGGAAGCCCTGGTCCCTGTTCCCCGTGGCTGCGGGCATGCACGTGGTACAATCTCCCTTGGTGACTGACTGCATCGCAGCCTGCGCCCGGATTCAGCTGGATTCGTCACCACGGGGAGACGTTCCTCGAGCGTGGTGGCAGGAAGAGGGGGAGGGATGGCTGCCCCGGTATAGTACGCAGCTTTTGAGCATGGGGCAACCATGGCCTGGGTTGAAGCCTGCCCACCAGCATCTGTTGGCAGCCAGGACCCAACACAGTGCAGGCTTTGGAGAGCAGGGCTGAGTGAAGCCAGAGCCACCAGGATCTGAGGAAAGGCACCTCTGGAGCATGTGGGCATCTTTCTGCAAAGCCAGGCTGGGCTGGGAGTCCTGAGGGCTGGAGGGACCAGGAGGGAGCTCCCATGCCTACTCCCTGAGATCCCACTGCTCTGTGACAGCCCCTTCTCCAAACAGCAGTGCCCGGTGCTCTGAGACACCAGGGAGGCTAGAGCCCGCATGCTTCTCTGGCCAGTCAGAGCTCCAGGGCGCTTGAAGATGCCGCTTGGCTTGCAGCCAGCCAAGCCCATCGCTTGCTTCATCCGACGTATGAGGAAGTGTTGACAGAAGAAAACAAACACCTCTGCCTATTCCTACCCTGCCTGCCTGGGTACCATCTGCCCAAACACCTGCCTGGCCTCCTGCCCTCCAAAGTGCTGCTCATCCAGCTTGTCACAGCCAAGTGCCCAGAGGTGCCAGGACTTCATGAGATGTCCCCAAACCTTTGCCCTCGGCTGCTTGGGCAGCTCGGAGATGCCGGAGCAGCCCTGAGCTGGCTGGACGCTCCCGGGGTCACTCGGTTCTGCTGGCCCCAGCATCACCCCACGGTGTGCTGAGGTGCTCCCCACCGCCCAACCCCTGCAATCTTCTCCTCTGCCGCCCCCGCTCAA